TTCTGACATGCGGGTATCGGGATTGAATCCCTACCGCGGTAGTTGTTTTAAGGCTCGTGTACTTAGATTTAGGTGTACGTCAAAGAATTCCAGATATTTTCGCAGCCCTTCTCGGTGACGTCCATCGTAATAATGTCATGGCTTTGGGAGGTTAAACCCCAACAATTATTACAGCTTGTGTATGTTGTGCCTTTATTCTCCTTTTAAATGTGAAGCATTTTTTAGCGAACTTCGGCGACTTTGAGTCTATCTATCTATCTATCTATCTATCTATCTATCTATCTATCTATCTATCTATCTATCTATCTATCTATCTATCTATCTATCTATCTATCTATCTATCTATCTATCTATCTATCTATCTATCTATCTATCTATCTGTCTGTCTGTCTGTCTGTCTGTCTGTCTGTCTGTCTGTCTGTGTCTCTCTGTGTCCGTCTGTCTGTGTCTGTCTGTGTCCGTCTGTCTGTGTCTGTCTGTGTCCGTCTGTGTCCGTCTGTGTCCGTCTGTGTCTGTCTGTGTCTGTCTGTGTCTGTCTGTGTCCGTCTGTGTCTGTCTGTGTCCGTCTGTGTCCGTCTGTGTCTGTCTGTGTCTGTCTGTGTCTGTCTGTCTGTCTGTCTGTGTCTGTGTCCGTCTGTCTGTGTCCGTCTGTCTGTGTCCGTCTGTCTGTGTCCGTCTGTCTGTGTCCGTCTGTGTCCGTCTGTCTGTGTCCGTCTGTCCGTCTGTCTATGTCCGTCTGTCTATGTCCGTCTGTCTATGTCCGTCTGTTTGTCTGTCTGTGTCCGTCTGTCCGTCTGTCTGTGTCCGTCTGTCTGTGTCCGTCTGTGTCCGTCTGTCTGTGTCCGTCTGTGTCTGTCTGTCTGTCTGTCTGTGTCTGTCTGTCTGTGTCTGTCTGTCTGTCTGTCTGTCTTTCTAGCTGCCTACGACTTTTAGCTCTCCTGGCCGTTTTAATGATGGTATTGATACCAAACTTGATGTGGCATAACATGACTGTAATAAGAACATGTTTAACTAGTCATAACATGAAGATCTCCGTAATCATGAGTTGCAACTCATGATTACGGAGTTAGACAAGGAGAGCAGAAAGGTGGGTCTTAAAATTAATCTGCAGAAAACGAAAGTAATGTACAACAACCTCGGCAAGGAGCAGCGCTTCGAGATAGGTAATAGTGCACTTGAAGTTGTGAAAGACTATGTCTACTTAGGGCAGGTAATAACCGCAGAGCCGAACCACGAGATTGAAGTAACTAGAAGAATAATAATGGGGTGGAGCACATTCGGCAAGCACTCTCAAATTATGACAGGTAGTTTGCCACTATCCCTCAAGAGGAAGGTATATAACAGCTGTATCTTGCCGGTACTTAGCTACGGAGCAGAAACCTGGAGACTTACAAAGAGGGTTCAGCTTAAATTGAGGACGACGCAGCGAGCAATGGAAAGAAAAATGGTAGGTGTAACCTTAAGAGACAAGAAGAGAGCAGATTGGATTAGGGAACAAACGGGGGTTAAGGATATCATAGCTGAAATCAAGAAGAAGAAATGGACATGGGCAGGGCATGTAGCGCGTAGACAGGATAACCGATGGTCATTAAGGGTAACTGACTGGGTTCCCAGAGAAGGGAAGCGGGTTAGGGGGAGACAGAAGGTTAGGTGGGCAGATGAGATTAAGAAGTTTGCGGGTATAAATTGGCAGCAGCAAGCACAGGACCGGGTTAACTGGCGGAACATGGGAGAGGCCTTTGTCCTGCAGTGGACGTAGTCAGGCTGATGATGATGATGATGATGAACATGAAGATCATGACATTTTTGTTATGGATGTCATGATTTTCATTTCATGGTCCTGCAGCTCTTGCAGTGGTATCGTTCACATTGCATGTTGCAAAAGTGGTAAGGTACGATATGATTGCCTGGCAAACACAAGCGACAGACCCTAACATAAAAATATAACATGCGTGTCATGTAACAACATGACTACGTGCCACGCTCATGATGCGCTCGTGGCCGTTTCGCTAGCGTCACATGTACCAAATTTGGTATTACAGTACGTGCATGAATGATGAAGGTATGTGGCTGGTACAAACATGATAATCTGAAGATGCGTGTCACGTAACAACATTACTACATGCCCCGCTCATGATGCGCTGGCGGCCGTTTCGCTAGTTTCACATGTACCAAATTCGGTATTACGTGACGTGAACAGACTACATAGGTAAATAGACGTCCAAGCGTGATAATCACGACACGCGTGCCATGTAACATGACTACATGCCACACTCATGATGCACTCACGGCCGTTTCGCTAGCTTCAGTCATGCCAAATTTGGTATTACGTGATGCCAATGGATGACGAAGGTATGTGACTGCATGGTGCAAACATTACTATCATGATATGTGAGCCATGCAAGAACATGACTACATGCCACAGTCAAGGCGTCAATACATTTTGACATGACGCGGCGAGCGTGCTCGCCGGCGTTCATTTCGTCGCGTCACACCGGCGTTGCCACGACAGGCACCGGTCCTGGTATATACTCGCAGGCGCATGCTGTGCTGCGTTGCTTTGACACACGCGTGTTTCAGCGTATCCAGCGTACCTCCTTCACGAAAAGAGGGAGACGCAGTGTTGTCTGGGTAACGCATCGGCTCGAAATGCAGCATGTCGCATTTCGCACCGGTTGCCGTCGGGCCGCGCTGACGGACGCGCCCGTCACCTCTCACATCAGGCTATAGAGTGCTCGTGTTTTGCTAACGTATCATCGCTGTGCCCGGCGTGTGTGCGCATGAATGCTACATTGGACTATAATGGGTGCTTTGTGATGCGCTCGGTGCTGTTTTGCCAGCTCCACATACTCCAAATTTGGTGTTACGTGACATCAATGGATGATGAAAGTATATTACTGGTGGAAACATAATCCTGATACGCGTGTGATATAAGAACATGATAACATACCACGCTCATAGCGTGCTCGTGGTTGTTTCGCTAGCTCCACATATACTAAATTTGGTATCACGTGACGTGAATAGATGGCAAAGGTAAACGATGCATTCAAACATGATAATCATGACGTGGAAGACATGTGCTGCATTATTAACCTCCACCTCGTAACTTTGTGCAGATCTTAAAGTGACATATAAACCATTCCCATTCTTGCTTCGCATATGATCGATTCCCACTGTACATGGGATCTGCCAATTTTTATGGTAACACCTGTGTGTGCGATATGCAGTATGTAGATGGGATGAACCTAGGTCTGTCCTTCCAGTAATTTAAAGGAATTTCGCCAGCGGTGCTCTCTAAAAAAAAAAACGCCTTGTATGACAACTCGCATGACTTTTATTCTGCAGCGTACTGTGTAGCATCACTTTGTGCCCGTACCTTAAAATCGCCACACGTTTTTGAATTGTAATTTACTACAAGTATTCTCTCAACGGGAGCATAAACATGCACGCACGTAACAGCGTGACATTATACGGTATGAGTGATCTGCAAATCACGCATTCGCCCATTCTCCTCCAATTTTGTATGTTGAGTAGAGTGATGTACGCATCAATTTCAAAGTAATTCATATTTGGGTGGGCAAATGAACTAAGCCCAAAGATAGACCTACACCACATTATTGACACACACACACACGTATGCACGCTAACACGCACGCACGTGCACACACACACACACACACAAACACACACACACACATATATATATTATAAAGTGTCAATACTGTGGTGCGAGAGTGTGTGGTTTTGCAGTATGTTTCGCTTTTCCTCCAAGCTGAATTTTCACCGAAGACAGTCTTTTATTGATGAACGACCATCGAAAACACTGCCTGTGATTTTTACACAGCTAAAGCAGTCCTGAAGTTACTTTGTCACTTCGCATGTGCTGTTTTGTGTATTTGTCATCAACTGTGCGTATTAAGTCGCTTCTCACAGTATTCATGATGCACCGCATGATGCAAGCGTTCGACTCGGCCGTGAAGTACTCAGTAAAGAACCCCCATTCTCTTGTCAATCTACATGCACGCAAGAAGACCTCCACGTACTACCATGCTATACTTTAGAATGTGAACACAGTTGCATAGCTTGCAAGTAACAATGTCAAATAAGTGTACAGTCTCGGGAGACATCGTTAAAATGCCACAGCCAAACCACAGTGAAAGGCCTTAAAAAAATTACGGCATATGCATGATGTGAATGATGACGAGGGAGCAATGCTCCGGCGGACCATTGACTCCCGTACTTTGCCCACTCAATTATGCAAAGACGTGACAACACGTGTGTACAGTTTATACAAAATTGCTTATTATTCACAATGCACAGATATTGTTGAGATGCTCATATGAATGTTCAAATGAATATTCACATGTATATAGATGTCCATATCTATATCTATAATAACGTTTATGTGGCTAGATATGTGGCTATAGATATTCACGTAATATTCATATGGTTATTCTTATGAATGTCCATATGGACATGGATATCCATACCGTGTCACGCCTAGGGGCAGGGGACATGGTTCGACCCTAACAAGTTTCGCCCCTAAAAAAACATAGTGGGGGTGTCAGTTAGCCATTCGTAATCTCGTTGATGCATGCTAACAATACACTCTAATTAGAGGCCGTAAAAAGCCGTCTTATTGCATTTTCACCATGTGTTTCTACACGTATCAGTTCTCAATTAAAAAGCAGTAGTTCAACTCGGCATGCACATAATGCTTAAGCATTCTTCACAGCTAGCTAGCAGCAGCTCCTTCATGTTGATTGGAATGAGGAACATCTGCGAGATCCTGAATGTTGTCGCTCCCTGTGTGAACGGACGTCACGACAACGCTATGCATCCCTAGATTGATATCGTCAATAAATCGTGTAAAGAACCGCTTTGTTGTTGAAAGCACGTTGCAAATGTGCTCTCTTTCATCTAAGAGACCTTTGCTCCGTGCAAAAAAAGACGCAAGACAGTTTTTTATATTTTTGTTATTTTATTTTATTTTTGTGCAGCACTAACGGCACTGCCAACACAAGCAGCGAAGCTAGCGTGCCACCGGAGGCGATGAGCTCGCGGTCATGGCGACAGCTGCCTTGGACCGTGGGTATCAATCTGGTTGCATTCGGGGCACACCTGTGCGCCTGCGGATGCTTTGTCTACTTGCCGCCCATGCTGCGAAAGGCCGGATTCTCGGAAAAGGTGACCGTAACTCCCAGGATTTCATGGCGATCATGCGGCGCTCTACTCAAGACTGGGCTTTTATGTACATCTTACTTTCACATTGGGATATAGCTCACGGAGGGTGTGGCGCAACAACATGTTTAGTGTGACTGTTTTGTGACCTTTGTGTCGCTAGCCATCAACACTACCTTCGGATGCGAACGGCCACCCCGGTTGTGACGCATGCAGCCTACATTCAAACGTGAAGACTACTTCCTAATACAGTCTCTTTATAAACACTACATTTCATGTTACCTGCGGGACGCTCACAGGAACTACGCGTTTCCACGGTGTCTCAGTAATTAATTCCTGTGATAGAATATTTTCCCACTATTCTCATTAATTTGAAATTCTGATTGATTAAATATTGGCAGATCCCATGTGCAGTGGGAATCGATGGTAAACGAAGCTAAGTGAAGAATGTCACCACAACGCTACGATGCGCATTGATGTAGTACACAGTAAACAAGTAGAAATGTTATGCGCCCTCAGGAATCTGGATAATGTGCAAGTACATTGTTTATAGTCACGTAAATACGGCATCACTAACATTTGTAATACCAGCGCAAGCAGTAATAGGCATGTATAATATGCCGTACATGACTTCCATGTCATGATTATCATCTTTTCACCTGGTGTTCGTGTTCGTTGTCCATTCACGTCACGTAATACCAAATTTGGTATATCTGAAACAAAGCAGCGAACGCGCTGTGAGGGTAGCATGTGGTCGTGTTTTACATGACATGCTGATGATGATTATCATGTTTTGATGTGTAACTTACCTTTGTCGTTCATTAACGTCACGCAATACCAAATTGGGTGATCTGAAGCTAGCCAAACGGCTGCGGTATCATGAGCTTCGTATGTAGTCATGTTCTTGCATGACACAAATGTCATGATTATCATGTTTGTATAAGTCATACACATTCGTCATTTATTCCCGTCAAGCAATGCCAAATTTGGTATGTGAAGATAGCGAGATGGTCGGGAACTCACTATGACGTAGCATGTAGTCATATTTTACATGACAGGCATGTCATGATTATCATGCTAAGATGTGTCATTTTCTTCGTCGTCCGTTTGCGTCAAGTAATACGAAATTTGGTATATGTGAAGCTAGCGAAACGACCGCGAGCGCATTATGAGCGTGGCATGTATGATATGAAGATGATAGTCTTTCTTGGGGACCTTCGACGCAAAAATTTCGGGCTGTCTGTCTGTCTGTACATTTGTCTGTTTGTCCACTCTTAATGGTACCCTAAACGACATCAAAGTGACTAAACAACACTTCAATGGCCGACCCCATTCGCAGTGCCCACCAATATTGCTCAAGGTTCAGTGTTTATACTTGTGCGATTGTCAATTAAAAAGCAATTATTGTGCATATCTGAGGGCACATAACAACACGTCAATATTATGTATGTGTATTTTTTACTAGAAAAGGCGCACATAAGTAATTTTAAGGATTGTAGGCTTTAAAACGCTGCACTGGCCACGCAAAGCTTGGTCGAAACGGCAAGTGTTTCCAGCGCTTTGCTAAGACGACACGATGATGGCACCTACCCGTCGCCTTGCGTTCTACATCTTATGACCTTAGAGACAGGCGCGCATGGCGTGCGCACCGTTTTCAGGGATAACTGCCAGATAGCACTCATGTCTCACGTGTGACGTGACTTGACGCACTCATTCGCCTCCGTTGTACGCTCGAGGCACTCTAACCCAGCGCCTTCAGAGCTTCATTCACCGATTTTCTTGCACAGAACATCAAATAAACATTTTGTTCACTCTCTTGAGACGCAATTGACTATCGTCTTTCGATGACATTTGCTGTGTAACATGCAGTTACGGGGCCAATTTTTTATATGACATGCATGTCATGATTACATGATTGCACCAGTCATATATCTTATTAATTCATTCATGTCATCTAATGCCACACTTGGTATATGTGGAGCTACCTAAACGGCCACGAGTGCGCTATGAGCGTAGCATGTAGTCGTGTTTTACATGACAGTCATGTAATGTTTATTATATTTGGACGTGTAATTCACCACTATCGTCTTTCGATGACATTTGCTGTGTAACATGCAGTTACGGGGCCAATTTTTTATATGACATGCATGTCATGATTACATGATTGCACCAGTCATATATCTTATTAATTCATTCATGTCATCTAATGCCACACTTGGTATATGTGGAGCTACCTAAACGGCCACGAGTGCGCTATGAGCGTAGCATGTAGTCGTGTTTTACATGACAGTCATGTAATGTTTATTATATTTGGACGTGTAATTCACCTTGGTCGTCCGTTCGCATCACGTAATACCAAATTTGGTATATGTGAAGCTAGTGAAAGGTCGCGAGCAATTCATGAGCACGGCATGTAGTCACATTCTTCAATGACACGCATGTCATGGTTATCATGTGTGCACCAGTCATATACCTTTGTCATCCATTCATGTCACGTAATACCAAACTCGTTGGATGTGAAGCTAGCGAAATGACCGTGAGCGCACCATGAGCGTATAGTGTGTAGTCACGATATAAACGACATGCATGTAATGTTTTTCACATTACTACCTGCCACCTATGTTCGGGATGCAGTAATGTCTTACCATACCAGTTTTGCCATATTTCATGTAAACGAAATTACCGGAAGAGCAGCAAGACCATGACATGCAAATCATCTCATTCAGGATATACATGTCATGGTTTTCATGTTTAGACTAGTCACTTGTGCTCGTCATATAGTTATGTTGCGCCATAAATATTTGGTATAGATCCCATCATTGAAACAGCAAGGAGAGCTAATTGTCGAAGGCGGCTATACAGACAGATAAGCTCGAAGTCCCCGAAGTTTACTAAGAAATGCTTTGCATATAATATGTTGGGTTTGAACGTTCCAAAACCACCATATGATTACGAGAGACGCCATAGTGCAGAGATTAAGAAATTTCGACTGCCTGAGTTTCAATAACGTGCACCCAAATCTGAGCACATGGGCCTACAGCATTTTCGTCTCCTTAGAAAATGCAGCTACCGTGGCAGGGATTTCATTCCGTGACCTGCAAGTCAGCAGCTGAGTACCTTAGCTGATAGACCACCGCGATAGGGCTAAGTACAATTCTGCTCGTATACATGATGAAAGTAGCAGCTTCTAGCTTGTGCGTATGCTTCTTCACATTACCATGTTGCCAGATATTACGCATGTATGCTCAGTTATAAAACAAAGATTTCATATTTGAGAGCATTTTATAGCAACAGAAACTATAAAAAAACATTCAGAAGATTGGCGTTCACCGCCATATTCTGACTTGGCACGGCGCAGTGGGAAACTCCAGATCAATTTTTCGCCATCTGGAGTTTCTTGAGGTGCATCCAAGTAGGAGTGCACTGGTGTCCTTGCATATAGCTTCCTTCAATGTGCGGAAAATGACAGGTGTAGCCACAAGAGGTAAGAAGACAGCAGAGTGGGTCAGGCAACAAGTGGTAGTTATGAAGAGGATAGTTGAAATCAAGATGAAGAAATGGACATGGGCCGGGCTGTTAACGCGTAGGCAGGGATACTGACTGAATTTATGGAGAAGGCAAACGTGTTGGGCGAAGACAGAAAACTAGGTGGGCAGATGAGATTAAGGAGGTGGCAGGTATAGCGCGGCAACAGGAAGCGCATGGCGGGGTTGACTGGCAGAACATTGGGGAGGCGTTTGACCTGCAGTAAACGTGGTCAGGCCGATGATGATGATGATGGTGGTGATGACATGCGGCAGCCATAGCCGTGCTATACTAACTCGAGTCCTCGAGATTAGAAGCGAGACACCTTAGCTATAAGGATACAAATTTATGGTGTCCCCCGCCCCTTTTTTTTGTAGCGGGGCAAGTCGGCCTGGTAGAAACACTGCATGCGAGCTCCCATATATGACGTATATACGTGTTCTAAAACATACTAATATGTTGTGTTCTATGTCAATAGCCGTTCTAGATAAGCTAGTCCTCAGGTTGTAGAGACGAGAAATGAGAAAGGAAGAAAGCAAAGCACTGGAACTAAGGTTTATGTCCTCTTCTATCAAGTCGTATAGGCACTGCTCATTTTAGTATCCAGTACGCTTATATGAACATGTGTATATCGACTAGTTGACGAAGGCGGTCAGGCGATGCTATGATGTCCAGTTTACGCATATTGATGACTTTTCAGGTTGTCACAACATTCAATGGGGAATCGGTGGAGTCAGGCCGCCCAACCTAAATATATGGCAACTCCTGCTGCCCCACCTGCTCCCCCACACTTCGTACTGTCTGTGCCATTCTCCAATGATTGATGCTTTCCAAGTTTTCACCTTGTTGACGATCAACCATTTTTGTTACGGCAATGTCATCATTTGCGGAGGTTACCAAAAGGATTTATCATTTTTACGTTTCTACGCTTCATTTTGTCTGGACTTTGAGCGAAAACCGGGCTTTCTCTTTGTAGAAACCGAAGTGTTGCGCTTAATAAGCATGTACATAAAGATCTAGTTTCCGGCATGGAGCAGAGAAGCAGACCTGAGGGAGCATTGCACAATGTTATAAAGAGGGATAAAAAAAGTCAGTTTCACCAAAAAGACAAACCAATGATTATGATAGCAACATATTCGAATGTTTTAAGAAGCAAGGACAGCATGTTTAGGAGCAGTATGAATTGTGGTAAACATGCGCTTGCTGAGTAACCAAGTTTCCTGCGGCGTGGCCACAGTAGATGACCACAACAAGGCTCGTGCGCAGTGACGGCATTGATGAGAAGTGTCTCCCGTGGGCAGCGCATGCTGGCACTAAGGTCTATACATTGTCTGATGCCACTGGTGGCAGTTTGTTATGTGTACGGCGCAATTATAGGTGAACGGGCAGTCCATTTATACTTTCGGCGCTGTTTTGTTTTTGTGTTGAGAGCCGAGCCCATAGAAGCTCCCACCTGTTGTGGCATCAAGAACCGCGTGCTGAACGTTGCCGTGATAGTGCCGCAGCCATAAGCACCACCTCTTGTTCGCTCACAAGTTAAGCCTGTGTGCCGAGGTGCAGACGACCCTGGCCGGAAAGGTGATGTTCCCCAGAAATAGGAGGCGAGCGCATCCTTCTCCATATATATATATATATATATATATATATATATAAATATGCATGGAGGCCTTGGCGACGGCGAAAACCAAGCGAGACTGTTCATATAATTGCTATTGCAATAAAGGAAAGAAATCAAGGATCATTTAGGGAAAAATAGCGTGTCAGGTACATGAATTTGCACTAATTCAACAGATACCCTCATGGCGTCTTAGCCAACAACACAGAGCCATTAATCGCACTTTTCATACTACGTTCAGAATGCAAGGTAAACATTGCAATTACCTGAGAAGCTGCATTTTTGGCGTCAGAATATATGAAGCAGCATATAGAGTATACATCTCATTTACATGCGTGGGGCCCTGTCCAAGCACAGGGCTTGTGTAATCTTGCTTCTTTTCAGACAGCTTTGTGATCGTGAGCTTGGTAACAGTCATAGATAGATAGTGAGTTATTACCAGCGATGTGCGATGACTATGCAATCGCGCAAAGAACTTCGCCATTTGAGAAACTTTTAAGTGTTAGTGTGTTTGAAGTGATACACGCACATAATTATTAGTGCATGCATACAAAAGTCCTTGAGAGATATTGATAAGGGAATAGGTCACAATACACCCGTTATTAAAAACAGAAAATGTTTTGTTAGCCTGGTTGATTGGGTAACCAAAAGTGAGAGAAAAGTGGCTTTTTTGGCAGGTAGCCAGCTAGTTGTTTACGATATTTTATTTTTAATAACAGATTTTTATAGCAATCGATAGTTGTACTTATGTTTCCACTTAGCCTATGAGCCACAACTTGCATTTTTCATAGGCAGCTTGTGCACATGGGAACAAAACTATAGTATACACACGTAAGTTCCTTACTTCACAGCGCCTAATGCCACCATATCCTTAAAGGGCTGGTTTCGCAGAATTTCCACTGCCAGCATGATTGGTTAAGAGGAAAATTGAAATAAGTGTGAAAAGCAAAAAAAAACTCTTTGCAATTAAAAGTCGGAACTCGTTTGTTCCTGTGTGTTAGTCTGTCTTTTACGCGGTTATTTTCACGATCGTGAATAGTCAAATAACCCGAGCCAACGTCGTTGTGAACTTCTGTTAAGTGGAAATCAAACCCAGGTTCTGCATGGCGAGCAGATGTTGTACCATATAGTCTTGGCCGTGCTCGAATTTTTTTTGTGAATCTTATTTGGTGTGTGGCGTGACATTGAAAAGTGTGATTCTGTGTAGAAGTAGCGCATTATCATATCAGGCTATAAAATATGTGAATGATGCAACGTGTGGTTGGTTTAAAGGCCCCCAAATCACAAAGCATGCAGGCACACTATCACAGTTAATAACAGTGTAGAGAGGAAGAAGAATATGTGCCGCAGTGGGTCACGCCTTTAGCAAGAGGAGCCGAGCGCGAGCTGTTCCCCCGAGCGTTGTGTTTCCTGCGTCGATTGCTGCCGCCCGCTTTCCGCATCAATAGACCTGCTGTTCAAGTACTACTTGCGCCAATAAACCCTGTTTCAGCAGCAACAACAGCGTGTGAAGCTGAGAAGTTGTGCGTGTTGCCACACAGACGCCTAGTGGATTCTTTGCCAACTTGCAAAAGGATGAACTGTAGTGTACTGGGTACTTCACGGCTGTTCTTGCAGTAGGCGTGATAGGATATAGTTGGAAAACTGCAGGTTTTACGTGCTCATACGTTCTTTTTTTTGCTTCACAGTTGAAATGCCCAGCAAAACGCGAAGCTAGGCTAGCAATTGACAACAAGGCGATGTGAAGAAGGTTCGATTAGGCTATTGTATTCTAGTCTTCAACGCGAGGTTCACGCATCCTCCAAGATTTTAAAACAATTGATACACCGCACAAAGTGCCATGATATAGCAATTAATAGTTTTTCAGAAGGGCCTTTTATCGTTCAGGTAGCACTGTACCGCAGAAGCAGAAACTTCACATTTATAGACTGAAATACCTGTATTAAGAACAATCAAAACATTATCACGTTATTCTGCATATTTATCAACCTGTGCAACTAAACAGTTTGTATCACGGTACTCCATAATAAGGAACGGGCTGATACCATTCCATTACCGGCATGGTACATTTAGGTACTACTAAATCTATGTGAAATTAGTGTGTTATTAAAGCTTGCTAATTTCATTATCGATGTAGCCACTCTGTTATCTAATTTCTTGCTTTATTTTGGCTTAATATTATTTTTCGCTATAGCATGTGTGAGGATTCTGTATGGCACTTGGCTTGTAGTTATAACTGGCAACTATGGCCTCGTTTTACTCAGGCACGCGGAGTGATCTTGGGCATGGGCCCCTTCCTGTGCATCCTGGGTGTACCGCTCGTGGGAGCCTGGAGCGACCGGTGTCGCTCGCGGCTGGGGCGCCGGCGACCGTTCCTCCTGGGCCTTGGTGCGCTTCTCAGCCTCGCGCTGGCAGCCATTGCGTTTGCCGACCTCATCTTTGCCCCTTCTGCGCACGGCCCCGTGCTGGCGGTGGCCACCATTGTCCTTGACTTCGCTACGCAGGTGATACTCCATTGTCTAATGCAAAAAAAAAGCTTGATGAACGACTTATACGTAGTGAAGGCACGTGTTTCAGCTCCACACACATGAAACCAGGGAAGAAGTGGAGCATGCAGTGTGCACTGATGTTTCCCATAGCAAAATATTTCTGCTTTGCTGTGTTACACATCACCGGTTACCTAAAGCACCATCACACTGTAGATCTGTTTAAAGTCTTGTATCAAATAAACGCCCTTACCGTAGAGATCTTTACTTCTTCCTACATTTCCTTCTGCTTTCTTTCTTTAAAACCTTTTAAATGGTCATTTCTTCCTTTGTCTCTCCTCAATTTCCCCTTCTTTTCACACCCCCTTGCTATAATATGCTATACACGACTTATCTGCACTATAGAAGCTGTATGTCATGTACCCACTACCATTAATACAGAATAATACTATGCAAGGCATTGTCATGCTATACCCTCCGTTGAATTTCACGTGCTCATTGCTCAAGAAGAAGAAAAACTGCAGGCGAGCGAGCTCGTGAGCTCGTTCGAAGAAGACATTAAGAAGCCACCTTGAAAAGCCTAATTGTTCAAATCACCAATTTTTTATCTTTTCGTTGTTTCCATTTATCCAGAAAAAGCATAATAGCGCCACCACTCTAAAAACTGGGCCTGCAATTGTAAGAACCCGTTCTTTCTTTTGGAGTCTCTACACTGGAGTACAGCAGCAGGGACGTTTTATTTGCTGTATAGAAATACATCACTGTGACTAAACAATTCTCTTGCTAAACTTTGCACTCACTACATACTGTTCAATTCGCACTTGGCACTTTAAATTATAAATAACAAACTAGTGTTTTTAGGAATGAAGCAATATGTAAAATATCGGGAGAATTTGTGTTATAATCGGCCAATTCACTCCATTAGGTACGAGCCAAACGCTGATGAAAAGAACAACACCACCAATTCTTGGTCAGTCCCGCTGAGTGAGCATGAGCCATAGGGGAGGCATTATCATCATTTTCTTTTACATTATCAGCTCATTCGGATGCTAAGAAACATCGGTCTGAGTTCTTGAGTCCGTGTCGACTGTTTCATTAGTCACATATTTTATATTTGGTGCCGTTGAACTCGGGAAATGACAACCAAGAGCTATCGTCAAGGGACATCGCTGGTGGCTACCTACTGGAACAGCGACAAACCACTGAGGCCTTCCGAGCAGCTGACCACCATAGATAAGTTGAAGACCAAGAGGACCACCCGAAAGGCTCAAAACACCAAGCTAATTCAAGAGGCGAGTGCCATACCTGATAATGATGACATGACATTGAGACAAATATATGAAATTCATGACAGAATATAAAATAGCAACGACGAGCTGAAAAAGATGAAGGAAAAGATTTAGAGCCACATAAGTGACGAGGCCTTCGAAGTGGAGTATGGTGTTTTCATCAAATAGAATAACACAATTTGCATATTAGCGAAACTTCAGAGTAAACGACGGCAGCACAGCGATATATTTGTCGTTTCACCACCCGTCGAAGCTCGGGACGTGCAGCAGCTACATTGAACCAGCTTAAAGGCCAGGAGTTAAATTGCCAAAGTGCACAATTAGTCCTTTCGCAGGTGACTTGTGCACGTGGAACACATTCTAGAAGAAATTTCATCAGCTCATCAACAGGAACGAAAATCTCACCTTGGCTGAAGAAATCAATTATCTCAGCCTTTTATTCAAGAGAGACACGACAACAGCCATAGCAAGGCTTCTTACCAAGGAAGCATGTTACGAAGAAGCGCCTGGAACAAGAGTACTTTTAGAGGCTGTGACGGCTCACTCTAGTACGGTTTTCTGGGGCAGTGGTACAAGTCCACAAGCTCTATGATCAAGTGCTCATTAATATGCGGGGTCTTGACACTCTTGGCTTGAGCAAAGGGTCTTTTTTATCGGTATTATGCGACCTTTTGCTGAGGCCTTTGCAGTATGACGTCGTCATAGCATATAATCGATCCTGCGCGACCCAGCATGAAAGTGTCAGCAACGATCAACATGCCACAGAAGATAATCGTCTCCTTCACTTTGTATTGAATTTGAAAGCCTCGAGAAAAGCGAATTTGGGGAACAGAAAGGATCCGACGAAATTGCCTATTCCAGAAATAAACATCTCCGCATTGACAATGCGACTGCAGCGTCATTGGTTTTTCCCAACCAAGTTTCAAAGTGATCTTCAGATACAGGCTGCATCATTATTTGTAAGTATACGCTCCACTTCACGGACTCCTGCTACAGAGACCTGCCGCTGTCGGAGAAGAAGCTTCTCACCGGCAACTTGAGAGACTTGAGGCGATGACAAAAGGTCTCTGAGCAAGAGATTGCAGGCGTAGGATTGCATGCTCGGGATGTAGAGGTTGCCATGCGTCAAGTATGTGCGATTAGGAAAAGCTGAGCTGATGAGTGCGTGAAGACATCAAAGGCAGCAGTACGAGCGTGTGTGCAGCTACCACCAAGCACAATGTAAGTGGTGACACTTCGACCTGCGTGCTCCTACAAACTGTGTTACTACATGCTTGCTGCTACATAGGCTGTGACCAATTATTGGTGTCGCTACATAAGAGGCGTGTTTGACGGAGGACGTGAACGCACATTCATAACCGATGAACTTTCAAGGCAGTTGAAGTTAAAGTGTCTTAGCTTTGCAACTATTGCAATCGACACTTTCGGCAACATCAGCCCTTACACATTGAAAGACTCCGTATTGTAGAGGTTTACCTCAGAAGTCAGCACGCTGACGTAAAATTGACAATTAAGGCCATCGAGATACCTCACAATTGTCTAGACATGTCAGACAGCACGATGGCCTCAGTGTGTGTCACATCATTCAAGAAAACTGGGCATGATATTGCCAATGAGCCGTTCCACTCTTTCATTGAAAAGGAAAATAGAATAAATGGGCTGTTCGGCTTCGACCAGTTGTGGGCGGTCATCACAGGTGAAATGCACAGACCGGGAATTAAAAGAAAAGTCATTTTCATGAACTTGAAGTTGACATGGACGTTCCAAGGGAGCACAGAACACTTGTCGTCAAAGGCAGTTGACTCACGAGTCATAATACTTGTGTGGAAAAACTGAAGTAGGTGTGGAATTAAAGTTTATCTGGTCATTTGGGGAACTACTGAGTATAGGCATATCTGATCTCGGAAACAAGGAGATCGAGATCGAGGCAGATACGAAGTGTCATTTCTCTGGGAAGTTGGGTTTGAATTATGCGACAACAAAGAAGTCATCACTATAAGACGGAAGAAACTTTTGAGCCACTTATCCAACAGAGAAGGTCTTCTGCAGACTTACGATGCCACGATAGGTGACTTAGTCGGACATGCATAATTAGTGAAGGACCCACCTGCGAGTCCGGCACAAGCTTACTACATGCCACATGAAGAATGATTGATTTGTGTGGTTTTACAACCCAAAAGTACCATATGAATATGAGATACACCGAAGTGAAGGGATCCGATAATTTTGACCACTTGGGATTTTTCCATGTGCACCCAAATCTGAGCACACAGGCCTACAGCATTTTTGCCTCCATGGAAAATGCTGCGGCCGCAGCCGGTTTTCAATCCCACGACCTGCCGGTCAGCAGAAGAGTACCTTAGCTACTAGACCACCGCGGCAGAGCTTGATACATAAAGAAGTTATTCCAAAACAGGCTTTGACAACAAAGGTTGAATTCGTCCTCAACAAGTCGTCAAAGGCATGAGGATGCAAGTCGCTCAATGAGTGTTTAGAGTAAGGCGACAACTTTTACCAAGACCTCGCAGGGATATTGCTGCACTTCAGAACGAACCCCATTGCCATACTGGTGGATATAAAGAAGCCCTTTACTCAGACTTGAAAAAAAGAAGAGGAAAGAGATGCCTTCCGCTTTCTCTAGTTCGATAAAGGGGATGTTATGGAGTTTAAATCGAAATTTTCAACAGAAGCAACTGCTTGAATGAAGAATGACCAGAGTATCTTTTGGAGCGACCTGCAGCCCATTTATGCTGACAGTGACCATTCTGCATCACATTAGAACAGCCCCGCTAAGTATGGCCTTGGCTGCCAAAACATTAAGCGAATCGTTCTACATCGACGACTTAATAACAGAAGCTGATACTGACGACGATGTTCAGTTTTGTAAAAACGCGGAAGAGCTCATGCTTTCGGCAAAAATGTATCTTCGCAAATGAACAATAAACTCCGTGGGGCTTATCAACCTGTTGGAAGGCAAAAACCAATCCACCAGGAAAGAAATGATGGTACTTCAAGAAGCTTCAGTTAGAGTACTAGCAATTGCGTTGAGTCCCCAAAGCAATGGCTTCAACTTCTCAACGGCCAATCTTTTTGCTTTTCTTGATGCAAAAGCAGACACAAAAAGGTTGGTTCTGCAAGCAGCATCAAGAGTTTTCGACCAAATGGAATTCGTCACATTATACACAGTGTTCGTACAAATATTTTTTCAGAACGTCTGGCTGTTACACTTGGACGAGTGTTTGTATTTATGAGAAGAATGGCAAGATTGGGTGAACCAGCTGACAAAACTTGAATCAATTAAGGTTCCGCCCTACTTCAACAGCAACAAAGAGAAGCTGCCCCACACACTATAAGTGCATGTTTTTTGCGGTGCAAGTCCCTTAGTGTACGGTACAGTGGCCTTTCTCTTGGCTGACAAAGCAAGGCGACCCCATTTACTAATTGCACAGTCATGTGTGGCACGCACCCCTCAAGACGGTAACTTTGCCTAGTTCAAAGCTTCTGGGGGCATTTTCAAATGCCAGGATGAGTTTTATATTTATTGCATTTACGGGCTCCCAGCAGAGCTGCACAATGCGGATAAATTAAACAATGGTGTACGCTATCATTAAATAAGGGCAATGCACAGAAGTCGAAGCAGTTCAATCACAACAGAGTCACAGAGATACAAGAGCCAAACGAGCATTATGCTTAGAAGCATTGCCCTAGTAATGACAATCTTGCCGACCTGCTGACACAAGGCGCATCTCTCGGCCAGGCAGATAAGAGCACATTGTGGTGGCGTGGGCCTAGCTGGCTAAAAGAACCGAAACACAAGTGTGCATCCCAACCAGTGCAAACAGTGAATTAAGAGCTCGATAATTGTGAGAAAGTCGCCATTCAATTATTCCTTACCAATAAAGCCTCGCCTACGCTACTTGCAGTGGAGCGTTGTAGCAGACTTTACAAACTTCAGAGAGTTACAGCATGGGTGCAGAGGTTCATCCATTTCTGCAAGCGTCAAATTCGCCACCTTACTGCAGAGGAGCTATGGACGGCAGAGCAGTACCGGGTTTAACACGTACAAGACGTATTTTTCAGCGCAGAAATCAAAGCTGTCGCAGAAAAGCGTTCCATAGACAAAAGACCACCCATCGCAAACCTCCACCCATTTCAGGACAAAAATAAGATACTTCCGGTTGGTGGATGCTTGAAGCAGATAGAATCCGTTGAAAGTGTCAAGGACCCGATTATATTTACGAGCGATCAACACTTTTCAAAACTACAACTAATCCGAGTTCACTGCCTGTTCTGCGCGAAGGTGTGCGTCATACCCTGACCCAGTTACGAGAGCGCTTCCGGGTGTGCAAATCACGAAGCCTGGTCAAGAAAGTGACGAGAGAATGCTACTTGTGCAAACAATATACCGTTGCACCAGAACACGCTCTCATAGCTCCTCGTGTTAAGGATTGGGTGACACCAGCACATGCTTTGAAGTGGTTAAAGTAGATTTTGTGGAACCACTCTTTGTCAAAACAACGTTAGGAGAAAAAAACCTACTTGCCTGTATTTACGTGTACTGCTTTAAGAACCATAGACCTAGAAATTGTGTAGAGCACGACATGAGAGGCATTCTTGATCGCCTTACGTCGCTTTCGTGCCAGAGGACGACTTCTCCAGGTCATTTATTCCGAAAATGTGAGGGCCTTTCAAAAAATGTCGGGGGGATTTGTGAAAGCTTTGCAGCACGCTGTTACAAAATGATGTCGCTGGATATCTGAGCAGTAAAGTCGTCAAATGGAAGCTTATTGTGGCGAACGCTTTGTAGTATGGTGGATGGTGGGAGCAGCTAGTAAGAACTGTGAAGAGGCGATTCCACAAGATTCTCTGAAGAGCCTGCCACCATTCCGAAGAACTTATGATGATGATCGCGGAAGTTGAAGTCGTCGTCAATTCAAGCCTTCTCACGTATACTGAATCCGAAGATGACCAACCATGCACTTTGACGTTGTCTGACTTGTTGATTGGCCGAATATTCACAGTGAATCCACAAAGGGGCATTGAGAAAACGAAGATGTTGACGCATAAGAAAACCACCCAGGGATTTCAGAACAGAAGGCATCTGAGAAAAAGCTTTTTGAGACAATAAAACAAAGAGTACTTGCTCCAACAGAGATCACCACACTTATGCGATAAAGGCTGGGTGAAGAAAGTTGGGGAAGGCGATGTTGTACTCGTACATGCCGAAAACCTATTACGTAAAATGTGGCAGCTCACAAGGGTGATTAAATTCTAGGAAATAGACGATGGTCCCATTCTCTCGTGCAATATAAACGACAAGGAGGCCTTGTGACTGCAAAGGTCATACAAAGATTGTACCGGCTAAAACTACAGGCATGACACTGTGCTCATATCACAAGAAGAAGAAAAGTGCAGGCGAGCGAGCGGGTGACTTTCGAAGAAGACTGCGAGAAATCCTTTTTTTTATGCTCCGAGGTCATTCAGATGTTACAAAACATCAGTCTGAGTTCTTGAATCCGTGTTGGCTGTTCCCTTGGCCACACATTTCATACCAACTTGCCTTCTCTTGTCCTTCCTCCTCATCTTCATACTACTCCTCACTGTCACATCCTGTTTTCACCCGCTTCTTTACTCTTTATGTACGGTTATGCTATGTAAGAAGGCATTTGGTACATACTCACTTTCTTTGGCCCATACCTGCAGATTGTTTTGACGTGCTGTGCATGGATTTCACTTGAATCTAAACAGCTCTGCTGTTAAAAAATGTTCATATTTGGAAATTTTAGAAAATCTTCTCTATTGATCATGACACGTCGTGGTGTACGGAAGCAATTTGCAAACAGTATACGAAAACCAAAGGAGTTATGGACAAAACCTGTAAGATTATTGTGGGTCATGACTTTCACATAGAAGTTTGAAAACTTAAACTTGCAATGCTTCCGAATATCTTAGTCATATAAGAGGTCCATCGCACATGCTCAAAATGTCACCTGAGGGACAATGCACAAAAATGTATTATTTTTAACGGCTGCGCCATGAATGTTCATTTTAAAACGCCTTACACTATGACGCATTTGCAGGCGTTGCTGAATCCGTCTCAGTCGCTGCTTTACGATCTGGTGGCGGATGTGGACTATGGATTCTCAGTCTACTCATTCTCGCTTTCCCTGGGTGGCCTATTCGGGTACCTGCTGAGCGCGCTCGACTGGACCGGCACGGCCCTGGGAAACGCGGGACAGGCGAGCTCTTCCACTCTATCCTAACTAAACCAAAGGTCTTAAGACTGCAAATTTTATATGTCAACTTTAAATTTTATTATACTTGCTACGTGTTTGCGAGCTCCTTTATCCCTTTCAGGTGAATATAAATCCTATTCTTTTGTCGCCTTTTTTTTCATTATTATGATGATGCATGTGACTTCGACACTAGTCCCTTTTCAGGACCGTTGCGGCACATGTACATATGTGGTGAGTTATTTGTAAGCACAACCGAGCACAAGGAAATTATCATGTTATTTTCTATAGCTTATGGATATGTGTGCGTGTGCTTTGCAGACATATAGACATACACTCTTACCTGTATATGTCAAGCTCTTGTCGAATTTGAACACCAGCTGGAGTACGTTTTGAAATCACATGCGAAGTAGATCACTGTGCCTTGTGTGCTTTAGGTTGGTCCTTCTCGTCTGGTTTTCTTTTATCACCGCAGCTGTTTTACAACAAGTATGAACCGCGAAAGCCCCAAAATATATCATAACTGAGTGTGAATTTTTGTGTTTTATGAAGCACCTAAGGTTTTCGAGTCATCCACTTAATCTTGAATGCAATCTGAAGGAACCCCGACTCTGTGCACTTGTTCATCACATTCTTTTTTAACGTGCAGGAGCGTGCCGTGTTTTTGCTCATGCTGGTCGCACTCATCACGTGCCTGGCGGTGACGTCTGTGTTGGCCAAGGAAAAGCCGTTGCCCCCTGTCAAACCGACGGAAAGCATGGCGAATGGGGACGCCATGCGTTCGCTGCCGCCAAGCACCCTCGTCATTCTGGACAAGGGGCCTCAAGGTGGTGTCACCGATAATGGTCTACCCGTCACCTGCAATGGCAACGCCCCCACCATTGGTGAACCAGGTGAACGATATCACAGAACCTTATATGTCGTTGCCCTTGTTTTATGGTAACTATAAGCAAATCGTGACTGGTCCAACAAGGTATAACTTAAGCACCTCATAGAAAACGTAGTGTAACAAAAGGAAAGAAAATGCACAGCATATCCTAGGAGTTAATGATGATAAGTGGGGCGAAGCATCCGTCCGTCTACCCGTCGGTCTGTCTGTTCATTGGTCTGTCCATTCTTCTGTCCGCTTGTTTGTCCATCACTCCGTCAACTATACAAAATTATCAAGTATAAAAAAGCCACTGACGCCACCTAGTGATAGTATTTCCAAGGACACATGCATAGAACACAATCTATTGAACAATTTATAAATTAGAGGTGGCTAGACACTACTACTACTACTACTACTACTACTGCTACTGCTGCTGCTGCTGCTGCTACTACTACTATTACTACTACTACTACTACTACTACTACTACTACTACTACTACTACTACTACTACTACTAATACTACAGAGGAGGGAATGACCCACACCTTGAAGAGCTTCGCTCCTAAAACAATCGGGCATGCATGTTCGAGTCTTATCAAGCTGCAGCATGTTCTTTTAAATGCGAAACATATTTTAGTCGCGCGATGTCGTGCTTTAATGTAGGCGGCGGCACTGTCCACACGCCCACTGCACATGCCCACGTCTCGTGTCTCGTACTCGTGTCTTGTGCCAGCACTGCAAAACTGTTGCTGGCCTCCCCTTTTCTCGCCTCGAAAGGCCGACGTAGGCAGCGCCTGCTAATAAAAAAAAAAAAAGACTGCTTGCGCTGCACAACCGTTCACAGGTCACCTCTTATATGTAAGCACTGAATCTCAGTCAAGAGTGTCTTTATTTGGCTTTCGCTTGACGTTTAAGGCGATGCTTACCCTTCATTTCATAAATAGAGTAATGAAGACAAAGTAACAATAAGGCATTCCAGAACCATGCCTAATTACGCAACACTTACGCTATGCCCCCCCCCCATTCTGCGAGGCTTTCACTCGAGTTCCCCCCGTGGGAAGATGTAGGTGGCATTTTTTTCCCTGTATAACTAGGTCGCTTTAGAAGTGAAGTTTCTTATAGCATCACCTGGTCGGTCGTCGATCAGCTTCGCCAAATCCAGAGTAGCGTCTCTCTTATCGTTTCATAGATGGAGCTGTCCCTTAGAGATGCTTGCAAACTCAGTTGGGTGAGGATATACTAGATGGTGCTGCTGTTTCATAGAAAGACATGCAATATGGCGGTTGGGTGAATGTACACTAGAAAGCATTGAAGGTGCAGTTCCTCTCCGATTGGTTGGTGTGTGGGCTGAGCACGAGTTATCTATCATTCTCCTGGATCGCCAGCGTACGTGAAGAAGTGTGCTTGCCGGAACGTGCTTGGTTGGACCCATGGATGAACGCACAGACGGACTAACACATGGACAGACTCTTTGCCCTACTGATTGATTGATTGATTGATATGTGGAGTTTAACATCCCAAAACCATCATATGATTATAAGAGATGTCGTAGTGGAGGGCTCTGGAAATTTTGACCACCTGGGGCTCTTTAACGTGCACCCAAATCTGAACACATTGACCTACACCATTTCCACCTCCATCGAAAATGCAGCCGCCACAGGCGAGATTTGAACCCCCGACCTGCGGGTCCGCAGCCGAGTACCTTCCCTACCAGCAAAATATGCTTGTGCCAAGCATGGTAAATCATCAGAAGCCAAGGTGTCCATGCTTGGAAAGTCAACAGAGGCCAAAGGAAGTATGTGCTTGGGAAGCATGACAAGCCTACCATTAGCCAAGCAAAGGAAGGCCGTGATTGGAAAATCGTTGGAAACGCCTCTTTCCACGGTTGGCACTGTGTTGCAATACCATGCAATAGACAAGAATCTTGACCAATGCAATTCCTAGCTCATATATTTTAGTTTTTTGTCTTGGCTACAATTTGATGCCTCGGCTACATTTTTGTAGATTTTTCATGCCCCCCTTGACGAAAAGTAACAAGATAAATATTTTCAGTGCTTCAGGTTTATCTTACTCGTAATATATAGAAGGCAATATGCCATTTTTTCATTTCGCGAGCTCTTGTGATTCTGAAGTGTTGCTTGGGCTTTTCTTGAATTCATCTATCGTAGTGGCATACCTTCTCGCATAGTTGCACCTCCTTGATCTGAAGCACACACGAGCCATCCTTTTGTTACCTCTGAAACAGCTGCATCAGTTTTGATGAACAGGGTATGTCTCATCTGGAAAATGGGAGAAAAAAAACATCATGAGGTCTTCTTCTTCAATAAGCAATCACTTAGGCAACCGCTTTCACCAATTTTCAACAAAACACACTGTAGGAACATTTGTTGGGAAACATTAATTGTGTATGATTATGAGGATGACAGCACCTGCACATACGGGAATACTTGTTGGACTGCATGGTGCATTTTTATAACTAAAGTAGTGTGCAGTCATGAGATCCCCATTAATACGAAAAACAAAGACAAACAATTTTAAAACATCCCTTTACACTCGCACATTCTAGATAAAAAACATAATTTTTTTACTGATAGTATTCGGGAAGCAGCATTGGTGCAGAAGCACTGTTTAGTGTCCTTGCTTTTATTTTTCTTGTATGTACGTACTTTTATAATTATAAGTGCTACTGAGGTAGTCAATGCACCTTTATTTACAAAAGTTGTTTTTGTCGTGTACTTTTGTTGCCAATGCTTTATTTTATTTCAACGCTCATTATTGAGCAGTCTTGCCGCTTAGTCATGCAGCTGACTGTTTCAACGATGAAATTGGTTATGTGCTCTGGCTCCCACAAATTGAGAAGGTAATAGAACAGGAAATACGATTATACAATATTTAAGTGGTGAATATGGTGGCAGTGAAACTGTTTCAATGCTTAATCTTGCTCCAGATGGCAGAAGTTCACTTTTTTCAGGACGACAGCATATATAAACTGGAAAAAAAAATTGTATTAGTAGGTCAAGTTTTCAAACAAACAGTGATGCAGTATGTGCAATATTCTGGTCCTAGTGAAACATTTTCTAAGGAACAGCAACCAAAATATCACAGCATCTGGAAGTCTGCATAACAAAAAGTCATACGGATGTTGCCAATAAACGACAAAGCAAAACCAATTTATTTGTTTTTTGATCATGCTCACCAAGCAGAAGCAGCAGCACATTTGCAGGCTTTTAAATAAAAAATTGTTCTCAGCCGCCCGGCAGTAGTTCTTTGTAACCACATTAGCACAATATGATGGAGCTTTCTGTGCACAGCGTATTCAGCACTGCTGACATTTTTTTAGGAACAAATAGCTGACATGTAAAAAAAAGAATACATAAATTAGAAATTTAATAAATGTAACACATGTTAAAAAGCTTTGAAAAAGTCTCTACTATATGCAGTGGTTATGGTGCCAACAGAAGGATAATCTTTCCATAAAAAAACAGCATCAATTTATCAAAATATTTATTGCACATTCTACGAAGTACTTGTAGGACTGGCAAAAGTATGCCTTCTTTCTAGAAAATTGTGAATAAAATTTTTAAAACCTAGTAAGTATTTAGGCCTGATTATTTCTTGTAAACAGCATTTTCGGTGTAAATTTTATGAAGTTGCTGTCGGACAACTGGAAGAATGCTGTTTTTGTGTAATTTATAACTAGTCTGACAAGTGGCACTCACTCTACGTAAGAAAATAGAACAGATATACGCATATATTAATACATTAGGCTGATGATAGATTATTAACAACAGGATATACAATGAAAATTCTGAAGAAATGCATTACATTCAGAATTGCATCGCTCAAAAACGTTCCACACTTATTGATTAACCACGACTTTCAAACTCTGCCAACATCTGAAATGACAACTTTCTCAATATCAATAAGTGAAATCCCGAAGTAGCTGAAGCTAAAATTGCATCATACCGTAATTACTCGAATCTAATGCGCACCTTTTTTCCGGTTAAGCGAGTTCATAAATCGCATGCGCGTTAGAATCGAGTACGAACAAAAAAATTACAGTCAATCTATTGCCATTGGCAAATCCAAAATGGCCGCCCCCTACGTGCGTCGGCATGGCGCGTCGGCCATTTCTGTCTATGTGTTTCCCATGTGCGGCACTTCGTACGTGTGCTGAGGAGTTCGTCATCTAGTAGTGCATTAGCATCGACGGCGTGGAAGGGCCGACTCCAAAAACTCGAGTGCACCACGATGCCGCTTTTAAAAGAAAAGTCGTCGCGTGTGCAGAAACGAACGGAAATCGGGCCGCATCGCGCTCGTTCGGAGTTCCCGAAACGTGCGTGCGGGACCGGCGGAAACAAAAGCAGAAGATTGTCGACAGCAAAGCTTCACGCAAAGGCTTCAGTGGACCACAGCAGGGTCGGTTTCCGCAAATTAAAGAGCTGCTCGGCGAGTATGTGCTTGAGCAGCGAGCGGCACAGCGGCCCGTGACGACAGAACTGCTCCAAGTGCGGGCTATGCAATTAGTCTTAGAAAAAGGTCTGATGCGGAGCCAGTTTAAAGCGAGCAGGTGCTAGCTAACTAACTTTATGAAGAGGAAAGGCTTTTCCCTACAAAGGGGAACATGCATATGCGAAAAGTTTTGCGGAGGAGTACGATGAAAAGCTTCACAGTTTTCAGAGGTTCGTCCTAAACTTGCGGCGCAACAACGGCTACCTGCTTGGGCAAATCGGGAATGCCGATCAGACGCCTCATTACTTCGACATGCCTGGCACCACAACCGTCGAGAAGAAGGGGGCGAAGCAAGTTCACGTGCTGACATCGGTCCACAGTAAAACTACAGTGACGGCAATGCTCTGTTACAAGTCAGATGGGCACAAGCTTCGCCCGTACCTCATATTTAAATGGAAGACGCTCCCGAAAGGAGTCGTTTTTTCGAGTGGTGTGATCGTGCGGGCCAACGAGAAAAATGGGTGCGCGTTGCAATCGATGACTTAAGTTTTTTTTTTTTTTTCGCGGTGG